GTCGAGGGGCATTTACAGAGGCGCCTCTGCACCCCTGGCAAAAAAAAGTGTTCTGCGACCGCTTGCTTTGCGTAATGGACGAGCCGCCCCTGAATGGACTCTTCATCTAAAGTCTGTGTTTCTCCTGACAGGGAACATACATTTCTATAGCTATTTTAGTGCTTAAGACTAATAGAAAGCCATGTCGCTCCCTCTTGAGATTGCTTCAGTGCTTGAGAGTGCTTCAGTGGCGTATGGATGCGTATTAAGACAATGGTTCCTGAGTTGGGGGTCTAGGTGACCAGAAAGTGATAAAAGAGACCTCCACACACAAAGAAGTAGCTGAAAGACAGAAAATGACCCTCAATCCCTCAGTCTAAAGAGATAACATTGAAGACCCTTGCGTATATTTTCCCTTACCTTGACCCTGCCTACCCTCCCATCATGGTCTCTTCCTTCATCTGTTCCAGGGATCATATTCAGCAATGGGGAGAGCTGGCAGCTGATCCGGCATTTTTCCTTGACCACCCTCCGCAACTTTGGGATGGGGAAGAAGAGCATTGAGGAGAGGATCCAGGAGGAAGCTCGGTATCTCCTGGAAGAATTCCATGGCACAAAGGGTAAGTGGACTCTGTATTGTTGAAGGCTTTCATGGCTGGAATCACTGGGTTGTTGTACGTTTTTCGGGTTGTATGGCCATGCTCTAGAACTAGAAGCATTCTTTACTGACATTTCACCTGCATCTATGGCAGGCAATCTTCGAGGTAGGCATCCTCACAACTTGTGAGGATGCCTGTCATAGATGAGGCAAAACATAAGGAGAGTATATTTCTAGAACATGGCCATACAGCCCAAAAAACCCACAACTAAGTGGACCCCCATTGGCATATTCTTGGGACTCTCCAGGAAATTCCTCCTGGCATGTTTTGTCGAAAGGCTACAAATTCAAACTCTTGCAAGCATCTTAGTTTTATAGATTTTCTCTCTAGAAACAGGGTTTCCCATACATAGGGTTAGGGTCTTTCCCTCCTGCTCACCCAGAGTCCTGGAATTTCCCACCTGGAGGCTAAACATTCTGTGGCTTGACCTATTCTGGGAGGCTTGGGCTTCAGAGAGTCTAAACCCAGATGCTCAGATGTTCTACATCTTTATAAAGTTGGAGGCTGGATGGCCATCTCTCAGGGATGTTTTGAATGTGATTTTCCTGCTTCCTGGTGGGAATCATAGAATCAAAGAGTTGGAAGAGACCTCATGGGCCATCCAGTCCAACCCCATTCTGCCAAGAAGCAGAAATATTGCATTCAAATCACTCCTGACAGATGGCCATCCAGCCTCTGTTTAAAAGCTTCCAAAGAAGGAGCCTCCACCACACTCCGGGGCAGAGAGTTCCACTGCTGAACGGCTCTCACAGTCAGGAAGTTCTTCCTCATGTTCAGATGGAATCTCCTCTCTTGGAGTTTGAAGCCATGGTTCCATTGTGTCCTAGTCTCCAAGGAAGCAGAAAACAAGCTTGCTCCCTCCTCTTCCCTGTGGCTTCCTCTCACATATTTATACATGGCTATCATATCTCCTCTCAGCCTTCTCTTCTTCAGGCTAAACATGCCCAGCTCCTTAAGCCGCTCCTCATAGGGCTTGTTCTCCAGACCCTTGATCATTTTAGTCGCCCTCCTCTGGACACATTCCAGCTTGTCAATATCTCTCTTGAATTGTGGTGCCCAGAATTGGACACAATATTCCAGGTGTGGTCTAACCAAAGCGGAATAGAGCATGGGGAGCATGACTTCCCTAGATCTAGACACTAGGCTCCTCTTGATGCAGGACAACATCCCATTGGCTTTTTTTGCCGCCACATCACATTCCTGGCTCATGTTTAACTTGTTGTCCACGAGGACTCCAGGATCTTTTTCACACGTACTAGGGCTGGGCGGTTTCGTTTCGTAATTTCGTAATTCGTTAAAAATTCGTTTTTTTTATAACGAAGCGATAACGAACCATTCAGGAGCAACTAAAAAACGAAACGAATTTTTAAATTCGTTTCGTAATTGTTTCGAATTCGTTTTGTATTTGTTTCGTTATCGTTTTGAAATCGTTTCGTTATTATTTCCGCATGTCTGGGGCAAGTTTTATAGTTGTTGTTTGTTTAATCAGTGAAAAAAAATTATAAATATCACACCAACAGTCAACAACAGAGGGAGAGGGAAGCTTCAGAAGTTCCCCCTGTCCCATTTGGAGGTTTTTTAGCGTATTGCGCGGTCGCGTCCGCCATTAACGAATCGATTCGTAATTGTTTCGTAATTGTTTCGTATTGTTTTGTAATTTACGAAATTTCGTAAATATCGAACTTTTTAAAAGAAAAATTTCAGAATTCTTTTAAAAATCGAAACGCAAAACCCCCCCAAAAAACGAATCGATTTTAGAAACAAATTTTTCTGTTGTTACCCAGGCCTATTTTTCACACATATTGCTCTCGAGCCAGGCATCGTCCCCCATTCTGTATCTTTGCATTTCGTTTTTTTCTGCCTAAGTGGAGTATCTTGCATTTGTCCCTGTTGAACTTCATTTTGTTAGTTTTGGCCCATCTCTCTAATCTGTCAAGATCCCTTTGAATCCTGCTCCTGTCCTCTGGAGTCTTGGCTCTCCCTCCCAATTTGGTGTCGTCTGCAAACTTGATGATCATGCCTTCTAGCCCTTCATCTAAGTCATTAATAAAGATGTTGAAGAGGACCGGGCCCAGGACCGTCCATTTCTGCCCAAGCAGGACCAACCCAATCCATGGAGACAGATCAAGAGTTTCCAGGTTGATAGTCTAAGAGTTGGGCTGAGATAAGACTGTGCTTTTATTTCCCCTTCCAGGCCAACCCTTTGACCCAGACCACTTCATCACCTCTGCTAACGCCGGTGTCATCTCCTCCATTCTCTTTGGAAAGCACTACGAATATGACGACAAGAAGTTTCAAGCCTTGACTGCACTGCTTGTTGAAAACATTCAGATTTTCACCTCTATTTGGGCACAGGTAGGCCCTTTCCTCTCATTGCTTGTGGGGTGATATTTCTCCCTTAAGGCCCCATCTGCACAATAATAATAATAATAATAATAATAATAATAATAATAATAATAATACTTTATTTGTACCCTGCTACCATCTCCCCGAGGGACTCGGTGCGGCTTACATGAGGCCAAGCCCACAGCACATGCAATAAGCAAAAGCAATAACAATAATCAATACAAAACAGTTAAAATAAACTCAAAACAGAAAATACACAATAAGCAATAACAGTAACATATCGCAACATACAGCATTTAAGCTACACAGAGAAGCCATTGAAATCCACAAGCATGTGGACAATTTCAACAGAAGAGGAAGAACCATGAAAATGAACAAAATCTGGCTACCAGTATTAAAAAACTCTAAATTACAACAGCAAAATAGCAGAGAGGAAACAACCAGGCACATTTTAACACCTCTCAACAAAAGATTTTCCCAGGCTCAGCCAGGCCTTCAAATGCTAATGAAGGTGGTCAGCTGAAATATTCACACCTAGCTCCAGGAGAGAAGAGCTCTTTGCCCCACCCCAGCCATTCCACAGATATATAAACCTTTTCCTATTCCAACAGACCTCACTACCTCTGAGGATGCTTGCCATAGATGCAGGCGAAATATCAGGAGAGAATGCCTCTAGGCCATGGCCCTATAGCCCAAAAAAACCCACAAGAACCTAGTTAAAATAAAATTCAAAAGCACAAATACACAATAAGCAATAAACAATAACAACAACGTACAGCATTTAAAAGAACCTATGGCCGGGCCAAATGTTGTAGTCTGTAGTAGTTTGGTTCAATTCCATCATTGGTGGAGTTCACAATGTTCTTTGATTGTAGGTGAACTATGAAGCACAGCAACTACAAATGACAAAACCAATCTCCTCCAAATCCACCCGTTTGGTCCAGTGAATGAAAATACATCCTACATATCCAATATTTACTTTACGATTCATAACAGTAGCAAAATGACAGTTATGAAGAAGGAACACAAATCATTTTATGGTTGGGGGTCACCACAACATGAGGAACTGGATTAAGAGGTCATAGCATTAGAAAGGTTGAGAAGCACTGCCTTGATCCATTGTGTCCCAATCTCTAGATCAGCGGAAAACAAGCTCTCACAACCCCTCTTAACATGCACTGACGCCCGCCCCCCTTTTCCTTCTAGCTTTCCAATGCCTTCCCTGCCCTCATGGAATGGGTTCCAGGGCCCCATCAGCGCATGGTACCAAACTATGCCAAATGCAGAGAATTCRTTTTGGAGGAAGCCAAGGAGCACAGGGCTACTCTGGACCCCAACTCACCTCRGGATTTCATCGACTGCTTCTTTATCARAATGGATCAGGTAAGAGAGCGCCCTGGGACCCATAACCATGTTCCTTAGTGTTCTTTACCTAAGAAAACCTGGATTCAGGGAGTTACGGAAGTTGGCTACCAATTTGAAGGTGGAGTGACTCCAAGACATCTCCTGGCATTGCGTGGGGGAAGTTCAGTGCAGAGAGTGGTTCAAGGCCCCAGAAWCAAGRCCAAAGAAAGCCAAGTGTCCAGTGTTATCCCAGTGAGTTCCTCTGAGTGAACTGAGGGGGGGGGGGGAGCAGATGCCAGGCGGGGCCAAGTCAGTCCCACTCTCAACTCTTTCWCTAAGAAGAAGAAGCATTTTTTGTTTTACAAGAGATTTCATGGTTAAGTGTTTGCAGGAAGGCTTTTCAGGGTGTGCATGTGCTATAGTTCTAGCTTGAGTGTTCTCTTCAATGAGTCTAGGAGCTGCTCCTCATTCTTCTTCATTCCCTCTGTGGCAAGGGCAGTGGCAGTTGGGATGGAAGAAGCCCTTTCATTTGTTTCTGGGTCAATCATCAGGGGTGGTGCCTGTCTCTTCCTCTCTCCCTCTGAGGCAAGGGCAGTGGCAGTTGGTCTATCAAAGAGTAAAACACACATTTCTGATATGCGGGAACCCATAAACTATACCAAATACACATAAATGCTTTCTTTTATCAGGCACACCTTTAAAACTTCACATTAATAATGTAAGGGAGATCACACCAGATATAAGTACTCACAGTGAGTATCTGATGCTACCAACAAGAAAATTATTATTTATTTTAATAAGGAAAGGTTAATATAGAATTACACCACTATTTTTGTTCACTACTTTTGTTCACTTTTCCTGAGTGAGTAAAGTTTTAACAATATATAAGGTTGGTATAGCTTCACAGTCTCCAAGGAAAGAAATGTCATTTAGTTCGCAATCCTGTGATTAAATCCCATTAAAATTCAATGAGAATTCCAAGTAGACATGCATGGAAACTGCAGTTATTGGTTCATAAAGACATATGTCAATATATGCATGCCAATGCCTTTAAGCAGGCTAAATTAAAATATCATATAGGTTTTGCTTTCATAACTGAACAATCACAGAAAGAAAGAAAAATCAACCAAAGACAACAAATACTTGAAACTGATAATAAACAAAACAAGCTTAGTGAAACCATGTTTTTAATAAGCAGACTGTTAAAGCTTTTCTGAGCTTCAACAGAGTACTTCCACTACTGAGGATGCAGTGTGGTTCTCAGAAAGAGAAGAGTCTATTAGTGGAGAAACTTTTAGCCCTACAGCATTTTCCACAGCCCCTTAGTACTGATCACATTAGCTCTGATTCCTTGGAATTTCAAATCCAAAATATCTGAGCAACCAACATTTTCTACCTAGCTATGTACTGAGCAAACTTATTCTGGTTTCTCAGCTCATGTACTTTGCTATTTTCCCCCACCTTCTCAAACAGCTCAACCACATGACAGATTTTCCTTCTAATCTTCTTCTGTGTCTGAACAATTATTCTACCATTTTTTTTTTCAGAAACCTCTTGTAGGATTTTGTCTAAAATGTCCTCCAGCCATACAAGGTGGAAAGAACTGTCTAGTTAGATTGATCCTCCTACTAGTGTCATTCAATTTATCCAAACAATATTGGTCAGAAAAAAATAAGAGATTAAAGGTGTGACAGAAATGTTAGCCAGGTTCTAGTAAGATCTTCTTACTCTGTTTAAGAATTTCTGAAATTCTTCTCATATTTGACTGAAAAGAACCCCTGGGAAACATCAATAACAGTACAAAACATTTCAGATAGAGAAGAACATTTGGAGGGCACAGTTCACATAGTCTCAGACATATGCACAGGGCTTTCTGGTTTCCTGGAAATGCTTTTACATGATAATTTGCAAAAGAAGACACCACTATCAATTAAAAATCAAAATGTCTGAAATATCATGCATCCACTTGCATGCATCTCTATGTGCAAGAAATGATAAACGCAAAGCTATTAACTGTATTGCAAAGGAGTTATTTGGAAAAAAAACCCTGCAAGATCCCTTTCTAAGAATTAGAAAGGGACAGCTTTCTAATTCAGTCCTCAGTTTGGATAGCTGAGGTTAATTTTTGTGAATTGTTGACAAGTTATTTTATTTTCATGTATTTCACACTAATTTTCCTTAGTGTTTAATATACTGTTACCAGTCACAAATCTTTTGGAAGTGACTAAATCTAAATGAAATGAACAACATATTTACCATTCAATTTTAAGAGGTAAAACCATCACAGAGGAAGCTGTAGGGCTAGATTTCAAGACAAGATTGGACCCTTTCTTCTAATTTATTTACTCTAAATTAGTTTGTCTTAGAAGTATTTCAGAAATAGTGACAAATAACTGATAAAACAGAAATGGATGAAGCAACTGATAAAATAGAAACAGATGAAGCAACTGTTCAAATGTTCTGGTTTTGTACTTGCAAGTCACCTACTTTTCAGATACCACACACTAAAAGTATTTCTGAAAAAAGAACTAATATTATTGCTTGCATGTTAAGAGTACATCAACATTACTGAATGACAAGCACAAAACATTTTTTTCATGCAATAGTTACCTTATAATGATAAAAAGCCAAGATGGGTCTGTTTAGAGGAAAACAGACAGATCCTGTGGACAGAACAGCCACTGCTGGTTTCATCACATTTAGTGTAGCACCAAATGGATACACAAAAGTGAGAGCTCTACAAGAAGAGCCAAAAAATGTAGTAAGTATTTTCTGTATTCCATGGAATTATCTATGTTTTCATAATACACTCTTATCCAAAGTTTGGAGAAGTACCTTTTTGGACTACAATTGCCAAGCCTGTAAACCCACTGAATCAACAGACCCTCCCTAACTAGTGATTCCCTAAGTATTCACTGATTCAGTGGGTCTACTCTACTTGGAACTGGAACTAGCTTTTTGAATGGCTTAGCAAACATGGCAGCACACAACATTAAGAAAAACTAATCCTTTCCTAAATTTGAGATTACAATTTATTTTAATAAAAGCAAAATACAGAATTTTATAAAAGTGGTAGAATGTTCCATTTTATTAACATTCCTTTTCACTTTAAAACTTAAAAGATCAGCAATATGCCCAATAATGAAATACTTACTGTGCATCATTTCCACTGTTATCTTCATCTATTAACCCAGATACAGTTTTTCCTGCAGCTCTGCTGATTTCCCTTAATAGTGGAAACATAAAAACAACTAAGATTTGAAATCTCAAGCGATGTTGTTATATGACAAAATTTGTTCCACCCACATAGACCCAAGACTTACCGATTTAAAACTCCATTGGACACCAGGGCTTCTTTAGGATGGAAGTATTTATAATACACATTCCTCACCACAGAATCTTAAGAAAAATGAAAATAAAAGGTTAATTTTCCCAATGAAGGATTCTATCACCACACATAAAGCTAACAACATGATTCCTAATTAGATGCATTTGGGGAAGTAATTTTTCTTGTGACAAAAAAGTGTACATAAATAAATATAACCGTCACAATGATTAGACAAGTATAAATGTGTGACAAAGGCATCTCAAATCATCTCCCTCTGGCTGTTTTTACCCTGCTCTATCTCAACTCTGGTGGGGACTCAGAGCTGCTTCCAAATTGGCAATATTCAATGCCTCATTAAACATAAAACATACAAATACATTAAACACTAAATGCTGTTGTTTTTCCAACTGTGTTGAAATTTCTCAGAGAGCAGTACCTGGACAACCAATGAGTTATTTGCCACTGACTCTTGCTGCTGTACTCCATTTTTAATAGGTAGTTCAATTACACTGGGTGGTACCAGAAAAGCAGCTACCGCAGCTCTTTCCCACTACCCTTACCCTTTTCCTACCCGACATCCCATCCATCCAATTCTCACTTCCACATCCTCCTCTTTCTGTCACATTTTCTCCATATGTCCTGAAGACCCACATCCCACCTGGTCTCCCGCTTTCCACTCCCCTGTCCCATTCCCTTCCACAATCTTGCCTCAGTGCATTCTCAATACAAAAGCATGTTGATAGGCCAGTTATTACCATTGTTCACCATGATTCCATACTCTTCCAATAAAAAGTTTATATTGGTATCGTATCGTGATTCACCACCTTCTCCAAGCATAACCAAAATATCCCCACCATCTTCTAGATATTTCTTCAGAACTTCAAACTGAGACAGAAAAAAAAGAACTCATTAGTCCTAAGCACAGAAAACTAAACCACAAAAGACTTTCCATCATTTTTCTAATGTAATCCCTGAAAATTAAAGGATAATAGTAAGAGAGAAAAATTGAATAATTCAATTATATATATATATATATTTTATATAATCTTTATTGAGTTTTTCACAAGAAATTAAAACTGGGGGGGGGAGTTTGGGGGGGGAACGGGGTATTGGGCAGAGAATGGTGGGGGTAGGGAGGGGGTAGGGGTGGGTGTGGTAGCGGGGGAAAGGGGAGAGATTTAGGGTGGTAGGGGGGGTGGGGAAGGGGGTTAAAAGAAAGATAAAAGCTTGTGACTTCCCGGTATCATCCTAAGGGTCTCTTCTTTCCCTCTTCCTCGTCTCCTTTTTCTCCTTCTTCTATTTCTTCTCTGATCCTTTCTCCCTCTCCTTTCCTTAGATTTCGTTTTCCGTAGTTTTTGTCTTGTTAGTTTGTTAGGATCTTCTTGTTTCTTTCTTTAA